TCCTCTGCCTTTTTCAGACCGACCTTGAGTCAGTCAGGTGGCCCTGTAAACCCTGTGAACTTTATTGATGGGTCTCCACCAGGAGCTTGGGTGCCTTGGAGCATTTGTGATGTCCTTGGGCATCCCACTTACCTCCCAGCTGCCACCCTGGAAGGGAGCAGACACCTCATTGATCTTTGGTTGTAGCTGACAGACACAATTGGAACTAACAGAGCTTCTGCAGGAGACCAGAGATCTTCTGGAGAGACACCTACATGGCCCGGGGGGCACTCCGGGGCATCTCACATGCACTAGGTGCCTACGATGGGACTAGCCCTCTCCAACGTGGTCAGTCAAGGCGTGATGTCAACAGGCTTTGAAAGAAGACGCCTACCAGCAATTCGTATCAGTCTTGTTCCCACCCGCCTTAACGAGTTTTTCAATAATAAGGAGTTGTCTGAACATAATAAAGTTGAAATAGTGGGATACATCCATGGGTTAAACAGTTGAACTGGATTTTCATGTACTTAAAGCAGTCGAGAGCGTAACGCAGGGTGCGCTTGCTGTACGGTTACGTGGTTCGTGTATTGGCGCTGTTGAGGGCATCAAGCCACTCTGTCCCAAGGCTTACACCGACACCTGTGTTCTGTCTTTTCTAGAGAAAAAACAGCTGGAGGCAATGTTAGGTAAGATGCTTTTGTTGTTCTTTGTTTTTAACTGTCTTTGTGCTAAGGTTATGCCCACGTTGGGTTTTGTCTGGGTTAGCTGGTTCGTTCGGGTCTGATTGCTGGGTTTGATGGCACTCTTTAATCATAGAGTCATAGAATCATTAAGGTTGGAAAAGACCTCCAAGATCATCAATTCCGACATCCAACCCAACAGCGCCGTGCCCATTAGACCATGTCCCAAAGTGCCACATCTACACGTTTTTTGAACCCCTCCAGGGATGGTGACTCCACCACCTCCCTGGGCGGCCTGGTGCAATGTTTGACCACTCTTTCGGTAAAGAAATTTCTCCTAATATCCAATCTGAATGTGGTTAAGCATTTAAAATTGAATGCAAAGTTCATCTGAATCGAATTATTTTCACGTGATAAACGCCGGGTTTATTCTGAGATAGTTACATTTTTTCTTTTCCCCCCAGGAAAGAAAGGCTTTAGGTGTGTTAGAACTTGTGTGTGTGAGCTTAGCAAATTAACAGAAAGTGTGTTGGAATGATGTGTTTCCCACAAAAGTGAGACAAGTGTAAGGCTTTATGGAATGCACTGCAAGAGTCTATGAAGTAACTTTTAACTTGCAGGGAGTTTTTTGATTTATTTTTTTTTAAATTCCATCCAATAACTACTTTGTTAATATCATTTCTTTTATTCTATGTGCTGAATTTTCAGAAGGAGAGAAAACCAAAAATCGAGCAGGTAAATCCCATTTTCTCAAAACATTCATGGAGGATGGATGCTGTCCAGCCTCAGGCAAAATAAGCTGCTCCCTTTAATTAGTTTACTTCTGTTTAAAATATCTTCTCAGAAATGTTCTTAGAGGGGATCACACCACAAAGAGGCCAATGGTATTTCCTCCTCTGCCTACCTGTGCAGGACGCCTGGTGCCTTAGACCCTGATGACGGTCCGTTACATCTCTCAGGGCTCTGCATTAGGTTTCTTCTCTCCCTTGTGGCTTCACAGAATCGTTCAGGTTGAAAAGACCCTTAAGGTCACGGAGTCCAACCACCAACCTAACACCGCCAGGTCCACCACTAAACCATGTCCCTAAGCACCACGTTTCCCCTGGACACAACTGCAGATTTCACAGAACCAAAACTCTCCGCTCAGCTTTCTCGCTCTCTCCTTCCCCTCTTTCTCATGAGAAAACTGCTCTTTTCCTGCAAATTTAATGACAGAAATCTCCCGCGTAAGCGTACAGATTGTTCCCATAAGGACCAACTGATGACGTAATTCTGATCTCTTCCTCACAAATGTCTTCTTCATTTTTGCCTTGAGTTCTTACATCACTCATTTGTGCTATTCCTTTTCAGCAAAGTCCAAACTCAAAAAACGCTTTGGTAAGAAAACTTTTTACGTCAACCTGGCGCTCTTGTCAAGTTTAGAAACAGTAAGACAAGCCCTCAGGTTAGTATGGCTGTGTTGTCCCTGGATTTGAAGCCAAGCGATATAGGGAAATATCACCTCTGGAGAGGAATAGTCTCCTCTTCCGTGCTGGGGGGTTGTCCTGTTTTGAAAAACTGCAGCAAAAAAGGAAAAGCAAACAAATGTTAGTGACCGGAATACCTTTCCCTTTCAGGTCGAGAGAAAGCAGAGCTGGGTAAGTGGTTTAAAAATCCTGGTGATTATGCAGAGTGCTAGTATTGGTGGGATAGCGGGAGAAAGGCCAAAAGTGGTGCAGAATCCATGATGACAGGAATTGCACAGGAGCAGTATAGCGGGAGAAAGGCCAAAAGTGGTGCAGAAGTGATGACAGGAATTGCTCGAGTAGCCTTCTCCGTCTGAGAAGCACCTAACTGCCCTATAAAGACGGTAACATCCGTGTTCTTCCTGCAGATTCCTGGGAAGCCCGGAGCCACGCAGGTAAGCTGGCAGGAGGAAGGGTGTGAAAACGCAGGGGCCATCTGTCCAAGCTACCCCGAAACGACAACGGCCGTCACCCTGAAACGGCAACGCCATGGTGTTAGAGATGCACCGACTGAGGTGGAGGCACAGGAACGTGCCTGGCTTGGCTAACGGGAAATGAGGCTGGCATGTGGCTGTCAGGAAGGCCAAGGAGAGGAGCTGCTGAAAGGCGCCAAAGTCGGGGGTGGGATGTGGACACCCTTCCGCAGAGGTCGGATGGGTGAGAAAGAGAGGTTTGCTGTAAAGCGCCCCGAAAGAGGACGCGGCTGTGAGAGCTCCCAGGTGCCTCTCGGTTCTCAGGGACTGCCTGCCCTGTTCTGGGGGATTTTCCATTTTCTTTGTTGAACGGCACTGGCTCCGCCCAGACCCTCAAACGCTTCCACCCGTGGCCCCGTGCGGAGAGAGGTCCCTGAGCCCCTCTGCTCATCGGGCGATTCTCCCTTTCCCCTCCAGTTCCCGTCCTGGTGAATCCCGACTGCCGAGTCCTGCAGCTCCAGGTGCCGGGGGCTCCAGGCGCAGAGAGCAACGCGCCCGAACCTGCTGGCACCGACTCTCTCTCCGCAGTCCCTGTCCTGGTGGGGAAGGAAGGGTTTGCAGCTGGGAAGCACTACTGGGAGGTGGAGGTGGGCCAGCAGCAGGAGTGGGTGCTGGGGGTGGTGAGGGAGAAAGGGAGACTGGAAGAGGAAGGGACCCTTCCTGGGGAGGACTGCTGGGCTCTGCACAGGTCCCAGGGCGAGATTTTCTCGAGCGCAGGAGGCCGCAGGATTGAGGCGCAGCAGAGGAGCCCTTCGGTGATCGGTGTGCTTCTGGACTTGGAGGAAGGGCAAGTGAACTTCTACGAAGCAGAGCAGATGGGCATCATGGTGAGGATGCCTGTAAAGCTTGGAGAGGAACCTGCGGAAATGTTTTACCCATTTCTGTCCAAAAGGGAAGGGACACTCACACCTCTTATCCGCCCGGTGTTAATCCCTGTCCCACTGGAGACAATGTAAAAGGAAATTTTGAATCACATAGGTTATAGAATCAAAGTTCTCTGCCAAGAGGTCAGGGTTGAGAGGAGGAGAGACTAGAATGGCTTAGGACATCAGTAATCACAAAATGAGGAGCGTAGTCTGCGGAATAAAACAGGAAAGCCTGAAAAAAAAGGATAAGTAATGAGAGCAAATTATAGCTTCTAGAAAAAAAATGCACTTGGAAGCAAAAGAACTCTTTAAAATTTTTTGTCCTTAAGTAAGAGAACAGAGAAAGCCTCAAATGATTGATTTTTGGTGGAGAATATTCTCAAGGCTCTGTATAAATTCCAAGATGTGTATAAACCATCACAAAAAACCCCACTTTTGTAAGTAAGTCCAGGGCAAAGAGAAAATTTCCTTGTTTATTCGTTCTGAATGACCTAAGAAGAATGGCTTTGAAGAAAACCAGTGCTTGACGTAAGAAAAGAACATCAGAAGCGTTTGACTATTTAGTTAATCCTTTCAAATCATTATGATTATCAGGGAATTTAGTCTTCTGCCCTTGTAGAGGTCCCCATACATTCTTTAATTAGAACACGGTTGGGTGACAAGGATTTATATTTTTTTCCTATTTCAATGTGGTTTTTACTCCTCGTAAGTGTAACCTTGAGCCGTTGTGACAACTGGATGGAGACAGCCACCCCCTGGTCCAGCAGCTGCCACCCCACGAAAAGAGTTGTTACTGGTACAGTTAAAAAAGGGGTTATGGCTCCCCCCTCTAAGCTATTAGATTTCTGTGTTTCTCTTTACATTTAAACACTGTTTGTCAAGAGTGTGTTCTGTTCTCCAGGCACCCCAAATTGTAATACAAGTCTCTGAGTGGAGCTTAAACCAAAGGGTTTTGCTGGATTGCTATCCACTTTGAATTTGAACCTGACCTTTTTTGCTGCCAGCAAGTTCTGAACCAAAGCTGGATCTGAAACCAACCTCCAGTGCTTTGCTTTGAGTCTCATATGTTTTCCACATCAATTTGTTTAGAGACTTGATGAATCAAAAGGAACTAAGTTAAGTGTCTGTGGAAGAAGTCTGCCGTGGAGAATAAGCATATGACTAAATGCCTGAAGGCCTCACCATACATAAAAATGCTACAGAAACCCTTTAGAATAAATTGTATGTAAAGTGATCTTAATAGTGTATGCGCTCTCTTTTCATTTTATTTCATGTTTTCACACCTGCTTGGTTAAATTTTGGCAGGCTGAGGGGAGAGTAAGCCTTTTTTTCAGTCTCTGAACTATTTGTTGTGAAAAATACGCAGAGCTGCTTATGTGAAAATGGTCAAATGACAGTTAGAAATTGTATTTGGTTTACATGGCAAGGTTTTAGTAGCTGGAGGTGGGGAGGCTGTAGGGGTGGCCTCTGCGTGAAGATGGTCCTGGGCTCCAGAGTAGAGACTCCCCTGCAGCTCATGGAAATTTTGGAAGAATCCATGATGGAGCAGGTGTTTCCCTGCAGTCTCTGGAGACATCACGCCGGAGCAAGTATTCACACTGCAGCGTGTGGAGAACTCAACCCTGGAGGAGGTGGATATTCCCTAAAGGAGGTGTGGTCCATGGAGACCCCACAGCAGGTTTATCCTGAAGGACTGCAGCCTGTGGACGGCCCACCCTGGAGTAGGTTCTCCTGACCAGGAACTGCAGCCCGTGGAGGACCCACGCTAGAGCAGATTGGTGCTGAAGGATTGTAGCCCATGGAAAGGACCGATGCTGGGTCAGGAGAGAAGTGAGAAGGAAGGAGTGACAGAGCAGAACAGATATGAACTTTTCAGAAGACCAGAAGGGGTCACCATATACATGAGGAGATACTGTTCAGAATGCAGAGTGCCCTTAACTTAGGCTTTATTCCATGTAAGTGTCTGTCCAGTAGAAATCTCCAGCTGAGTTGGTCACCTTAAAGTTATCGCCTTTGCCCAATGCATCCTCATTTTCCACTGGGGCAGCAAGGACCCTGCCCAATGGGACTCAGGTGTCCCATGGACGTGTTCCCTTCCTGAACAGGGCGCATCAGGCAAAAGGTTGGTCCAAGAATAGAAGGGCGATGATCAGATCTAAAGAGTGAAAGGAGCTCAGTTTTAATCCGTGGCACACCGCGTCATCACCAGTGTGATGGCAGGACGTAGGCAAACTTGCGAGATTGGGAAGACCAGGAGGCTGACGATGAGAAACTGGCAGCCTGCAGTGTGTAGTGAAACTCTTACACGCCACAAGCTCTTTGATCTGGGTTGATGGCATGGAGCAGACTCATGGAACACAGCAACAGGGTGCCTCCCACCGCGCACGGGTCCTTACACAATTGCGAGTTTCAAAAATCCATGGAAGAACCTTCCTCCTGGTTTTTTTCATCCCTTCAGAGTCTTTCTCCAGATGGTCAAGTCTGATACCACCATGAGAACAACAGACTCAACTTGGGGAAAAATTAATTTAATTTACTGTTAGTTGGAAGAGATTTCGGCAGTGAGAAAGAAACAAAAACTAAACCACCTTTCCCCCACACTCCGTTTTCCCAGGCTCAACTTCACTCCTTTCCTCCTGACTCCTCTACCTCCCCCCAGCTGAGAGGCGTGGGTGGATGGGGGGTCATGGTCGGTCCATAACGGTTCCTCTCTGCCAGACCTCCCTCCTCACACTTTTCCCCTGCTCCAGCGTGGGTTCTCTGCGGGCTGCAGTTCTTCAGGATAAACCCACTCCCACATGGGCTCTCCACAGGCTGCAGTTTCCTTCGGGGAACACCCACCTGCTGCAGTACAGGGACCTCCAGGAACTGCAGCGTGGGTACTTGCTCCACCATGGTCCTCTCCACAGGAATTCACATGAATTTCTGCTCTGGCACCTGGAACACCTCCTCCCCCTCCTCCTTCTCTGACCTTGGTGTCAGCGGGGTTGTTTCTCTCACAGTTTTTCCTTATTATTGTGCTGCATTTTGCCCTGTCTTAAATGTGTCTTCTCAGAGGTGCCACCAGCCTCACTGAACGGCTCAGCTTTGGCCTGGGGTAGGTCCATTTTTGCAGCCGGCTTGAATCATCTGTGTCCACCACGGGAGCAGCCCCTCACTTTTTACCACAGAGGCCACCCTTGCAGCCCCCCTCTGCTACCAAAACCTGGCCACAGACACCCAATACACCCAGAAAATAGGTCACTTACATTTACCTGTCATCTTCTATCAGGCTTCCTGAGTTCACCAACAGGTGAAAGGCATTTCTTATCGTTTTCCCAGTAATGCAGAATCGCTCCTCCTACTTCAGTGGTAACTCGAGTCATCTTGTTCCTTCCTGTATTTTTAAAAATCTTCAGCCAAGACACTCCGTCCAACAGGTAAGAGCACAAGACTTTTTTAATGCTTGAAAGGATGCGCTATGAAAATAGCAAAAAAAATATATTCTAGATGTCTTTTGGGGCAGGTATATTCCATTTACTGCTTCACAAGTGATATCTGAGGGATGAATGGGAAGGAATAAAGTGGAGGATATCTTAGCATTAGTAAGGAAGGAGTATTTTAATAATTAAACTTATGAGTATTTGTGTTAGTAAATCAGGTACTGTTCTGAGATTTGTACTGTAGTTTTAGTTACTTTATTTCATTGAAGTGATATGTTGTTGATATATACTGTTCTTCCAATGTGGTTGATTGAAAATCAACATCTAAATCAACATCCTCTGCTTTGAAATGGTAAATCTCTATTAAAATGATCTTGGTACTATAGGTACAAATATTTAGCATAACAGGGAATTAAGGGTTGTAGAAGAAGAGTACAAACCTGTACAAGACAGTGACAGCCAGATAGACATTTTGCTGTTTTTATTCATTCCAAATGTTGAAAGGTTGAGACATAAGAGTTAATACTCTGTCCTTCAAATAGACTATTATAAAAAGTTGTTCTTAATGCCAGTTGGTACTCAGAATGTGGGTAATTGCTCATTTTGATGTGCAGTTGAGCTCTTGTGCCAAGCAGCTCAGCGTGGCCCTGGGTTTCAGTAAAGCAAAGGGAGGGGGCTTCCCTGGGGCTGCCTTGCTGTCCTCTCACCTGCCTTTCGGGTGAACACCATGATGTCTGGTGTTTTCCTGGGCTGTGCTCACATCGCCTCTCGCTTGTGCTTTGTGCATTTAGAGTAAACGCAAGTCATGGTGTGACTCCCCAGGCGCTTCCTCACAGTACTAACAGTTCCTCCAGTTTTATTGCCCTACCAAACAACCTTTTCTCTGCCCTTCAGCAGTTCACCAACGCTTTCCCCTAAGAGAGGACAAGAGTACAAGTTTGTTGGGAGTTAAGATAGGCTGCGGGTGCAAGATAAGGCAGTTGTAGGGACAGGGAATGAGGCGTGCTGATTGATTTAGCCAGGCTGCGTGAGGAACTGTTAAAAGACAAAAGAGAGCGGCTGGTGGGAGTAAAGCCACAACTGACTGGGCACAGCTGAGCTGCAGTGCTGCACCTCTGAGGAACGCGTTGCTTCCCTCAAGCCTTCCGAGGTGGGATCCTGGAAAAGTTTCCAAGGAGACTGTGGGAGAACCAGAGCAGGCAGTGGCTCCCATTTTCTCTCACAGATGCATAAGGACCACACTTGCTGATCCATAATGAAGCAAAAGCAGGATTTTCTGTGATTCTCTGTCATGTCCTCATCCAGGATAGTGTTCTCACCCAAGCTGCACGCTGCTGCAGAATCAAAGTAGGCTGGGATGAAGCACAGCCCAGCTTCCTAGACACATCCAACAAGAGATTCATTGCATGAGAGAGTAGTAGTATGTGTCCAGGGCTGGCAGTGGGCATCCTGGACTTCTGGCCTGCCATCCAAATCATTCTGAAGTCATATGTCCCTGTGCCCAACAACAGGGACTGTCAGGGAATGGGAATGGGCAGCTTTTCCCTCAGAGGAAGGAGCCAGGAGCTGCGAGTGACCCCGCCAACATGATGCGGTCCCACAGGATCTGAACACAGCAGGCAGAGCCAGGTGCTGCCTCTGTGTTTCTGTCTTTAGCAAGATTCATTCCTTTCTGCTTCATTCCTCTCAGGAATTCTTTCTCGTTTTCACAGTGCATCATCCATTTCCACGGGGGGAGTAGAAGCCATTTGACTTGACCCACATGACATTTTTGGAGGACTTATGGAATAAGACCCCAGAAAGGAAGTTAGTACTAGTCCTGTTCTTTGCTCTTCCAGCATGTGTTTTCATTGGAAAGTGGTTTACAGGTAAGAAACTCCCTGCTGTATCCAGCTAGCCAGTTATCCTAAGGTATCACACTTGCAATTCAGTTCCTAGTCCCTTGAAGGAACAAACGCGCTGTAGATCCTATGTGGTGTCTGACACCTCCAAGCCCAAGTTTGGGAAAACATCAGCCATCCTGATGATGTGAGACACCCCAGTCCTGCTGTGAGGTGTCAGCTATTTCAGGGAAGCGGTGTAGGTGTGTTACCTTACTACAGACATGAGGGAGGCATTGGAGGTTGGGCCAGACGACCTTTAAAGATCCTTCCCAACCCAAACTATTCTGTGATTCGATGATTTCATGTTCAGTCTCTCCCAGGTCACAAAGCCAGGGCCTGTGGAGGGCAAGAGCCTGTGCAGATCGCTTTGCAGGCTGTAAATTTGCAGAGTGCATAGGTCATTGCGCAGATCTTTGCACCTCGTGCGGTGACTTGCTCCCAGGTCAATGAGCTTTGGTTTGCAGTGCTTGCACCGGTGTACCTGTTGTCTTCCTGAATAAATCACCGCCCACAATGCCCATGAGTATGTAACGCAGCTGACATATATAAACCCAGGAAATTTGGTAACAGCAAAGCATGTCTGTGCCTGGAGGAGGTGGTAGCAATGACTCAAGACCCTGTCCACACTGTTGTAAGGGGCTCTGAGACTCTAACCTAGTGCTCAGCTTTCTGTTTTGGATTCAGATAACACACGTGGCTTGCTTCCCTCTATGGAAAGTTTACACTCGTGGGGAAAACCAGTGCATTTACTCCCACCTCTTCCTTGCAGGTGAAGTGCCCATCACCATCAGCATTGAACCGTCGGTTGTTCTTGCTGGAGAGCAGGTGACTCTGTCCTGCCAGCTGTCAGACGGTGTCCCCTCTAACACGAGCGTGCTTTGGTACAGAATGGAAAACGGGAGGGATGCTCCACTGTGCTCTTCCTCCAGCCTGGGTGGGGTGGTGGAGCAGTGCCAGGATGAAGAACAGCGAAGGACGGTGGGACACTGGCAGGGAAGAGCACTTCTCCTGGTTATCCGGCAAGTGCGGGTAGCTGACGAGGGGACGTATGTTTGTGCAGTGAACGGCAGCGTTGTCACACAGGAGGCTACTGCTCACCTTAATGTTACAGGTAAGCAGGGGGATTTTCACCGTGACGTGTGGCCTGCTATGACCATGCTGAGTTCAGTTCCCATCGTGCTCTGCCTGTTCCTTGCTGGACCGCTGAGACCTCATCATGGTTTGACCCCAGCGGGCAGCTAAGCATCACGCAGCCGCTTCTTCACACCCTGCCCCGGTGGGATGGAGGAGAGAATTGGAAGGGTAAAAGTACAAAACCTCATATTTAGATGAAGGCAGTTTAATAGGTAAAGCAAAAGCTGTGCACGCAATCAAAGCAAAATGAGGAATTCATTCACTACTTCCCACCGGCAGGCAGCCGTTCAGCCAGCTCCAGGGAAGCAGGGCTCCATCACGCAAACGGTTGCTTGGAGAAATGGGGAAACAGCGCAGGAAGCGGCTGGAAAGACTTGCTTCCATTCTGAATATCTAAAAGCTGGGCACTGAGGGTGTCAGAGCGTGTGGCTTGTCATGTGGGAAACAGTGCAACAGGGAACTGCATTAAGATGCTGAATATCCCTGTATAAATCCCTACATAGGCGCTGAATATCCCTATATAAACAACCTATAGTTGTTCTCTCTTCTGGCATGATGCATGTTCAGCCTCTCCAGTTAGGGCTGTTTTGCTTTGTAAAATGAAAAACCAGTTACTCAGAGCTGTTAGAGAGGGTATTCACCGATGTACAGTGCACATAATGATACGGTATAGGCCCCTTTTCCCTCCCCATTAGAAATCTGCCGTCTCAGAAGGCCTGTCTGAAATGCAAACCTGGAGGCACTGCCAAAAAGCACCTTATCAGATCAACCCTCCTGTTTGGACAAGTTCACACTCTGCAGCTTAGTTTGAGTGCATGGAAACGTCTGGCATCGACAAATCTGGCGTCAGTCTGTCAATGCTAGGGGTAGAAGGCCCTTTTCATTTCTTTTCTTTTGGACCTCTCATGTGCTAGGCTGACTTGATGCCTCCTGTTTTGGTGTTGGACAAGGCAGGGAACAATTCTTTGCTCTTCTTCCTCTCCACACCGTTCCTTTTTCATGGACCAGTATCATATCCCTCTCAGCCATGTGGAGAGTGCTTATCTCCTTTGCAAACTCCCAGATGCTCTTCCTGACCTTTGATCACCCAGACTCACTGGGGTTCACTGTATCTCTGTGGTAAGATGCCCCAGCGCTCACCATTGCTGCAATCCAGGTAAATCCAGGCCCCAGGTGTGGTTGTTTTTATGAGCTATGAATTCTTAGAGCAACATACCGGGGCTTTCTGAGTTTTGTCCGTTTATTTTGTTGTTGTTGTAGTTGTTTTGCAGTAACTCTAACTCTGTTTCATACTTACTGACTCTGTTACAGCAATTGGGTATAAGCCAACTCTGGACAGGGATCTGCAAGAGGAGAGTATGTGTCGCTACACGTGTCAGTCAAAAAAATGGTACCCAAAGCCTGAAGTCGTTTGGATGAACTACGGAGGAGACACAGTAAATGTGGAGGCCAAGACCAATGTAACCTGGAGCGAGAGAGACCATTTCACGGTGCAAAGCACCATCACAGTGCCTTGTGATAACGTAGATGTGGTGTGTGTGGTCAGACTCATCACATCCAAGATAAGCCGATCAGGTAGGTCACATTTGTTGAGGGAATCGGACTCCTCCATTATTGCTAGAAAAGCTGAAATTGGACAGGTCTTGGTAACCCCCCTCTGAAGCCCCAAGCATCCTGCAGAATCTTGCCCTTCAGGAGAAATCTTTGCTGTTGGGCAAGGGAGGTTTGGGTTGGCCTTGTGACATCTTCAGGGAAACACCACGAAACAATGACCCAGGAAAGTGCTGAGAGTGATCTTCTCACTGCTCTGCCTCTTTGGGTTGAGTTCTGACATAGCTTAAGAGGCTCTGTCCCTTATGGTTGGGGAAGAGCTTCTTGTACACAATCCTGTCTGTTTTAATTTATTTCAACACTTTCACTCTTACACACAGAAAGCTCATAGGACTCTTTCCAGTGTGGAATTATTAAAAACCAAATGCTCAAAAGCTAGATGGTTTTGATTAGAGATGAAACAACAGAAGCGCACATGTTCTCTGAGGAGATCTCCTTCATGGCATGCTTAGTATTTCTGTGTTGTGTCAGAAGTGGTGGTTTTAAATTGCCTTTGTTACAGGTTCCATGAACGAAATTATTGTGCCACAGTCAGGCGCTTGCACATACAAAGGCAGAATAAGCGGTTCCTATGTAAAGCACAAAGTGATGTGGGTTGATCCCCAAGGAGAAGATCTATCTTCATGGGCCCAGACAAGCATTCTACAGGAGATGGACAATATTTTTGCAACAGAAAGCTCCATTGAGATACCCTGTGGACAACCACCACCTTCTTTTGTGGCCATCGATGAGGAACGCAGTCCACAGATTGCTCAACAGTCAGGTATGCAGCCATTGAGACTTCGATCATGTACTTTGGCATTCTCCGAGCAAGCAAAGCTAGTCTCTTTTCACTCCGATACAGCATCATCCTCCTCTAATGAAAAGGCTGGGCCTAACGCTGTGAATTATTTCACTCATTTCCCCACAACACTCAATAGTTGAATCCATCGGGGAGCATCACGAAAAATCGCAACTGGCCCGTGCCGAGCAAGGAGAGAGGCTAGGACGCAGAGTATGGAATTGCAAGAGGAATTCTTTTGCTCATATGTACGAGGTGTCCCAGCCAAACTGGGGTTTCACACATAGAATCGCAGAACAGTTTGGGTTGGAAGAGACCTCCAAGATCATCGAGTCCAATCTTTGTCCTAGCTCTACCAACACCACTAAACCATGTCCCTAAGTACAACACCTCCCCGTCTCTTAAACACCTCCAGGGATAGTGACTCCACCCCCTCCCTGGGCAGGCTGTTCCAATGCCTGACAACCCTTTCAGTAAAGAAATGCTTCCTAATATCCAGCCTGAACCTCCCCTGGTGCAGCTTGAGGCCATTTCCCCTTGTTCTGTTTCTTGTTACTAAGGAGAAGAGACTGACCCCTGCCTCGCTACAACCTCTTTTCAGGTAGTTGCAGAGAGCGATAAGGTGTCCCCTCAGTCTTCTCTTCTCCAGGCTAAACAGCCCCAGAACCCTCAGCCGTGGTTCTCACACCTTTCAAGCATTCAGTTACAACATGATTTGACTAATTGCTACTTAACACACACACAACCACTCTACTGTCTGCAAAGCAGTGATAATTCCATGGTGTTATCATTCACCTGCTCCTTGATTGATCTAGATGTCCCTGGAGCTGGTCTTGCGACAGTTGCTTGTCTACGACACCAGATAATGGGAGGATTTCACAGAGGTGTTAGAGGGGTGAGCATGCTGGTGATATCTCAGTAGTCCAGGGGGATCCTTTATCCTTCCTGGGGAAACTTTAAGATCCTGAGAGACAAAGGCCCTTATCTCCGGGTGGGACTGTGCTCCTCCTTGCAATGAGCTGGGCTCCTTTAGTCATGCTTAAGTAACTAAGCCCTATTCAGCACACAACATAAATTACGTATATGGAAAGAAAGCTGATAAAATTTCATACTATAAAGACTAGTGGGTACAATAGTTAGGGAATGAGGTTTTACCTAAGAGTCTACTGCTCAATACTTTGAGGGAGCCAATGGACCTGCAGTCACGGCAACCCACTATCAGGACTGTGGCTGGAATGGGAAGAACATCTGCTGGCCCTAGGAAAGCCGGGAGGACGGTGGGATCTGAGCTAATATTAGTCTGTTTCTGAATGTCTATTTTTCGACGCTGCCTAGGAAGTTTTTCTGGCAGATCTTCAGCCTGTTAGATGCTGAGATTTGTACCAGCAAGGAAAGACTTTGGCTATAGGCTACTGGAGGGTTATTCTGTCAAAAGGTGGTGTTAAGCAGCAAGGCTAAGGATGAGCTTTCCTCCAAAATGTCTTCTCAGTGAAATCTTTGAAGGTCAACTTGTCTCAAGCTAAAGTATTTTTTACAGTAACACTGAGAACAACATTGCTCACTTCAGAGATAGTGGCCTCTTGAATAAAAACAGAGACCATCTGCAAAGACTAAAAATAATGGAAAATTTCTCAAGGAAAAAAAAAATCATACTTCCCAGCTTATCTCAAATCTGGTTTTCAGTGTGTGTATGAGGAAAATTCTTGGACACAAGGCAGTGAATTTAAAATGCAACTGCCCGTGTCTCATTTCAGCTTCCTTTAAGTCTCTCTGTGTACTTCATCACATTTCCAGATGAATGGTTTTGCTGAAAGTGTTCTGCTAACCGCGTCCAAACAGTGCAGATTATGTGACCCCATGGCCATTCTGTGTATGTGTGGCTACAGTTGAAGTAATTTTTTATTGCTTTTCCTCCATTTTTTAGAAAAAAGTCACTGGCCTTGGATTATCTGCCTCCTTGTTCTCATTATTGTACCAGGTAAGCTATTTCCCCACGCCAGAGATCCCATCACCCAGTTCTTCTTGGCAGTGAAGAAGAATCCACCCCACAGCCACTTATGGGCCTGGTTTTGGCTCTTGCTTTGTGTGTGTGTATGTGTGTGTGGGTCGCAAATAGCTGCTGTGGTGTCACTACTGATGGTGTCTTTGCCTTTCAGCACACCTCCAGAGGCAGAATGGTAAGTGTGGGTGTTTGGGGTTTAGTGTCCTTGCCTGCCCATGGCGCAAGCTCATTAGTGGAGACAACACAACGCCAGGGTGGGCCTGTGCTTGGGGTCCTTGGCTGTTCTCCTGGCCCAGTGTGCATTTGTCAGGGCTGGTGGGATGTTCTCGTGACTGGGGGGCCCTGTTGCTGGCGGGTCTCCATTGTGAAGGCTCTGTGTCCTTGCTGCTGAGTCAAGGCAAGAGGTAGTGGCCCAAGCATGAGAATGCATCCGCGGGGAAAGGGAACACCGTGTGCTGGGAAATAGGAAACTGCCAGGCTGAGTTCCCCGTGTGAGCCAGAAAGAAGGGGTGGAGGTGGTTATGGTGGGAATACTCCAGGTTCTGGCTTGCCTGGTGCTGGTTGAGGGAAGGTGCCGTGTCCCTCAGTGCCTGACGTGCCAAGGTGGACATGTGGCTGTGATGCTGGCGAAGGCAGAAGCTCTTCAGGGTGTCTGTGCCACGCAGGGCCATTGACTGTGATGTGTGGTGTAGGGAGTAGGGGCCAGGACAGTGGGTCTCGACGTCTGCGTGTGCTGGATGCTGCTGTGCCCAGAGCCGAGTGAGCCCCTGTCCCCCCTCCTGGCAGCAGCTCCTGCCTGGGCAGCCCTGACTGGTCTCCCCTTTTTCTCCCTACCCCTCATTTGCAGAGGAGCTCCAGTTGCAAGAGAGGGCAGCACGTGATGCTGAGATGGGTGAGTGAGTGCAAGCACTGCGCTGCCACCATGGCTCAGTGCCCAAGGGACCCCTGGGCTGGAGATGGGTGCTGGTGGAGGATGGGTCTGCCTTGCCAAATGAGACCCACGCTTTCCCCCTGTCTTCCTTGGACTCAGGTTCTAAGCATGGTGTTCTCCCTTCTCCCTTCTCCCTTCTCCCTGTCTTATTGCAGAGAAGCAGAAGGAGATCGGTGAGTGCTGCTGACTCCCTGGGGGTTGTGTGTGCAAGTGGATCATGGGATGTGATGCCAAGGTGGGACCGTGGAGGACAAGTCACCCCACAAGAGCGTGAGCCATCCACCATGCCAGAGAATTTTTTCATCCCTCTCTGGGGTGGACAGTGCTAGAATGGACTGGGTTTTCGAGGCAGATTAGTAAGTTTAGATGTTCAGGATTAGTGTCCTTGCCTGCCCGTGGCGTGAGCTCAGTAATGGAGAGTTGACTTTGCCAGGGTTGTCTGATTCCTGGGGTCCTTGGCTGTTCTCCTCACCCAGTGTCCATTTGGAAGGGGTGGTTGGATGTTCTTGTGACTGGGGCACTCCCGTGTTCCTTTGAGTCAGGGTGCTAAGCAAGGTGTTCCCCCTCTCTTCTTGCAGAGAACCAGAAGAAGGAGATTGGTGAGTGTCGCTGTGTCCCTGGAGGCCGTGCGTGCCAGCTAACTGTGAGGTTCAGGGGTCTTCATAGGGTGTTGCTCGTGGCGTTCTGGCTGGTGGAGGCTTTGGTGTTGGTAGGAGAGCGAAGGAAGGGTCCATTGAGGAAAGCCCCCTCTGATGGGGCTGGTGGGGCTGGAGAGCCTGGGCCACCAACCAGTCCTGGGGCCTGGTGGGAAAGTGGGTGATGATGGGGGGGGTTGAAGAGACCCCTGCCAGAGTCAGAAGCATGTAAGGTGCAGCTCCAAGGAGCATGAGTCGTCCACCACGACAGTTTTTTGTTGCTTCCATGGGCAGAATGTTCCAGAGTGGACTGGTTGTAAGTTATGGTTCTCGCCCTAACTTGGTGTCTTCTTCTCTTGCTGCCCATGGTGACTGGGCAGAGAACCTGCATGCAAAGGATGATGAGTGTTTCTGGTTGCCTACATGCTTTCAAGTTTAGTGTCACTGAAAGTTGTATGTACTTCGCTTCCTGCGTTCCTTGGAAATATTGTGAGCCGAATCTTCAGGAAGCTGTTTCCATTACGAAGCCAAACCTAATCCATGGGAATAACTCACAGTATATCCAAGGGTCCTGTTTATAAATGCTGTATTCTTCCCATGTCCTTTAGCTACCTCCAGCTTTAATGACCTGGCTACACTTTCACCTGCTGCCCTCTGATGCGCAAAAGATTGCCTCACACCACTTGTGCCTCTCAGCCTTCCTAGTTGGAAAAGGTCCTTCTTGTACGCAGAGGAAGGACCAGAGCCCATTTAGGAATGACTGTGAAAGTCATGTAGATCTGACTGCATGGAAACTTATGCTGAGTTCAGAAACAGCAGGTTAAAACATGGCATTTCAGGGTATGGCTGAACGTTGGTATTAATAGAGTTACCTGTATCCAGAGTCATTCTGTAGTGCTACCACGTACCGGTATCTAATTCATAGTAATGTTTTCTTTCTGTGCATTTATCTTCTTTGCAGTGGATCAGAGGAAAGAAATTGGTAAAGGCGTTATTGTCTCTTAAGTCTCTTAGCCTAGTGAAAGGGAAAGTCTGAAGAGAGGAAGGGATGGGTCTTGTTTTACAGGACAATGAATTTAGAGCTTGTAGCTTGAACTCCTGGGGCTTCCAAGCCTTTGCTGCACGTCATTCCAGGTGCACATCTCACACCTGCCTGTTCACATGCTCAGACGTTCATCCAAAACTTGACGTTTTTTCACATACAGATGCCTACCTTTGAGCTAATCCCTTAAGCTCACATCTCAGGACTTCATGATCCTACCTCGCCAGGTCATCTTTTCATCTCACACACAAAAGCACAAGTTCAGCTGATTCTGCCCTGGCAACTATTTAAGATTTACTAGTCTGATTTGACTTATCAGCAGCTTGGCTTGTACAGCAGACTCTCTGCCTGCCACATCTCCACTATACTGCTCTGCCCAGCCAGTATTGCATGAAGCTGTCATGGCTGCATGGATCCAGAAACTCACTGGCAAGCACACCCCCTCCTCCCTTTGGAGGATTAGAGAAAATTCACCCAACCTATTCCTTTGTATCCACCTCACCGGAGAAATTCATGAAATGTGGCTGAAATTTATTCCCTGAGTGTCACAAAGGGGACTGTCTCTTTCTGTGTCCCTGGAAATGCTGGAGAGCTGACCAGGGATCTCACTTGGTTTGAAACGGGGAGTGTGGCTGGTGGGGCATCCGTGTAAAACGCTGGCAAGGCAGCAAATTAGGACCTGAGAAAGTAGTTTCCAAGCAGAAAACTCATCCCAGTTTCAGATCTTTCTTCAGACCTCACAGGGAATCACATGGCTGGAGAGAGCAAGAGGGAATTTGAGTTTCAGTTGACTTGCGTAGTTTAACCTTAGACTTAGTCTGAGATTTCCCAACTTGGAGTTGGAAATTTTTTCCAGTCACGGTTTGGAGTTTGTTTTTTCTTACATTTTTTTTTTCTTTTTTTTTTTTTTTTTTTTCTTTTTTTTTTTTTCCCCTTTATTTGCTTCCAGAATTCAGAAGGGCTCGTGGCAATGCAGGTAAAAAAATGTATTTACTTATGTTTGTACTCAATGGCTTGAAATCTGTGAATACTACAGAAGCAGTGCTGACTGTGGACCGCATTGCGAGTCTACAAATGCCTTTAAATCCAGTGATATGGAGGTAGTTCACTTGGCAATGAAATTTTTGAAAGTTAAAGTGTAATTTATATATCTCGGTGCAGTCCTTCTTCACTCCAGGCTTAGAGGTTTTTCTAGACTAGTTGTAGGGAGACTTTCAGAATGAAGTGCAGTACAGTACAGTTTCCTTCTCTTCTTACATATTTGCTTTAGAGGAGTGTTTATAAAGCCCCAAATATCTGTTTGTTGTAGATGACATCAAGGTTGATGGGGACACAGCCCATCCCAACTTGTCTATTGCTGTGGACAAGAAGAGTTTTACGTATAAATCACAGGCCCAGAAAGTGTCTCAAAATAAAGGGAGTTTTGATTCATCTGTCTGTGTGCTGGGCTCAGAAGGTTTCTCCTCTGGGAAGCATTACTGGGAGGTGAACGTCGAAAAAAGCAATGACTGGGACCTAGGAGTAGCCAGAAAATCCGCTCCAAGGAAAGGAATGATGTCTCTGTCACCTAAAGAAGGATTCTGGGCTCTGGGCTTAAGTTTTAATGATTACTGGGCAAGAACTGATCCATGGACACGGTTAGTGGTGTTGAAAAATCCCAGGAAAGTTGGAGTTTATCTGAACTGTGAAGAGAAAATTTTGACTTTTTTCAATGTTACTGACATGTCTGTGATATTCACGTTTAAAGACTGTGCATTCTCAGAAGAAGTTTATCCATTCTTCAAAAACTCGCACAAAGAATCAACCATGAGAATTTGTTCAATTAAAGAGGAATAATTTTTTTAAAATTTGGTAATTTTGTCGTGTCATGAAAGATTGTATTATTTTCTTAGACAAATTTAATGCTTAATTGCAATTTATGTATTACGCATTCTTGATCACATTCTGTATTTTGCATAGTTTAATACCTTAGCTTGTGTTATTTCCCTTTCCCCCAGCCTTTTCTATATGTGTTTTGTCAATACTTGCAGCATGCAGGCAGAACTGAGCTGTCCCATGCCACGATTTGATGAATGATATGTCTATCTCAAGAAACGATTTCTGTAGTGTCTTTTATCTGAAAATAATTTCAGTCCTTACAATACATTTCAGGGATCATCATTCTCTGAGGTTTTGTTCTGGACTGCTGCACTGTGTACTTTTTGCTTACGTACAAAACTCAGCTTCACATCACACACCTCAACAAATGCGCAGCATCCCGTAAAGGGAACCTCTCTTCATCACTCTTCTGGATGGAATTCTCAGAATTTTGGAGGAAAAGAAAAAAGAAATTTCAAACAGAGTAATTGAAAATGTAGTAATGTATCTACACTTCACTTCTTGCATGGAGAACATGTCATCTGTGCTTGAAGAAGAGTCTGAATGCTATGTCTCTCTGTCATGCTTTGAACCCTTGTGCTAGAGTAATATGCTCTTCTAGTGCATAAATATCCCTGACAGAGCTGTCTGCTCCACAAGACTTTCCAAATCCTAACCTTTTGCCAGGTAAAATGCAATTTATTTGCCTAAACTTAGACACCCATTGCACTTTAAGATTCTTTAGGGCATCCAACACTTCTGCATGGCGCTGGTCGTACAGCACAAGGCTTGTGGGACACGTGAGCCCTTCTGAAGTGGCAGCTGGAGACCTCCTGAGGCAGAAATGACAGCAGATGCTGGAAGATCCTTGTTTCCAGGCTATCGTGGTTATTTTCTGTGAACAGTCCCTTTTTCCATGGAATTTAAGCTTACCAGCTTTTGTCCACTGAATCACGGAGGTGGAAGATAATTTATTCCTTCATTTTTGCATCGGGGGTCTCAGGGTTATAGCTACATTCCTAGCAGGGGTGTAGACCTCGGTGGAGCCTGATTCAATACCCATGTTGTTTTTTAATGAACGTCATTGGTACATTTTAAGTCAAATTTAACCAGGATTTGACTTGCACTAATATTACATCTCCGTCTCTTTACACCACATGATACAAGTCCACAGTTTTTTCATAAGGTGAGATTCAGTCTGAGACAAAGATCTAAATGTAGGTTTCCACATATGAACTAGGTGTCTACGTTTAATTATAGTTAATGGATGCGCCTGAAGGAGGCTGTGACCTCATGGAAAGCCCATGGTAGAGCAGGTCTTCTGGTGGGACCTGTGGCCTGACAGGAAACCCACGCTGGAGCAGTCCTGCAAAAGGACTGCACCCCATGGAAAGGACCCATGCTGGAGCAGTTCATAAAGCAGTGCAGCCCGTGGAAAGGACCCACATTGGACAAGTTTGTGGAGGTCTTTCTCCCGTGGGA